GAAAGATGTCCCTGATCCCCCGCTTTCTGCCCTAGATCATCGAGAAGCGCCGCCGCGATCGCATCAACAACAGCCTGTCCGAGCTGAGGAGGCTGGTGCCCAGCGCCTTTGAGAAACAGGTAGTGCCCAGTCACCCTCCGCACAGCCTCCCCCCGGTCCCGGAGGAAGGGTCGCCCCTCGTTAACCTCTCGGATTCTGCCTAACAAGTTTCCTGCCTTCCCCTTCTCTCCTAGGGATCGGCCAAGTTGGAGAAGGCAGAGATTCTGCAGATGACTGTTGATCACCTGAAAATGCTGCATACGGCAGGAGGGAAAGGTAAAGTTTCATGCCTGACAGTGGGTCAGCAGCTCTGCAGAGAGGTTTCTGTGAGAGGAGTGCGTTCCCTAGCATTTGGTGTGCAATGTGCTGTGGGAGCGCTTGGAGAAAGTGAATGGAAACTCTCTGGTGTTTCATCAGGAATTTGGGACTTTCTTCTACTTGAAAAGATTTGCAGCATCACTAACACTGGAACATTTTACAGTGCTAGCTCCAGGTTGTTCCAGGGAGAGTGATTACAAGTCTCTCTAGCAATGTGTCAGCACTGTGAGGTGAATTGGCTTTTGTCAGCTTGGAAAGCACAAAGTTTTTGTTGCTGTCAAATTTTTGTTTCTCTAACTTTCTGGAAGTTCAGAACAGAAACTAGGAAAAAAATACAGGATGAAATGAGTAGTGAAGAGAATTAGCAAAAATGGTGAAATGCCCTTTTAGGAGAAAAGACTTCTGCCTGCAGAAGTCCCTTCTGATAAGTTAGGACTTGTGTTTCTAATGAATTTCACTGGGCTGTGGTTTTGCTTGCACTGGGGAGACATGAAAAGAACAAAAGTACTTTCCTCCAGCGGTAGTGTGCAATTTCAGTTTAAAAATGGCAGTCTGTGACTGGTCTTGGGACTTGCAGCATCACAGCACAGATATAAAAGAAAAGCTTGTTAGACAAAAAAAAAGAAAAAAAAAAAAAAGGCTTGGCAGCTAATCTATGGTTGGGAATACTAACCACATCCAAGTGAAATATGCTTATAGGGGAGGGTGGAGTGGGGAGGCTACATGTAGACAATGACTAGAAAACAGCATCTTAAGACTCCATTCTTTGTTCTTTTCTCTTAGGTTATTTTGATGCTCATGCTTTGGCTATGGACTATCGGAGTCTAGGGTTTCGAGAGTGCCTGGCTGAAGTTGCTCGATACCTTAGTATTATAGAGGGTCTGGATGCCTCTGATCCTCTGCGAGTTCGACTTGTGTCTCATCTCAATAACTACGCCTCTCAACGGGAAGCAGCAAGTAGTGCGCACACCAGCATTGGACACATTCCTTGGGGCAGTGCCTTTGGACATCACCCTCACATATCTCACCCACTGCTGCTGGCTCAAAATGGGCATGGTAATACCAGTACTACAGCATCTTCCACGGAACCACATCACCAGACCAGAATTGCCGCCCCACATCCTGAAACTTCCTCACTCAGAGTGCCCCCAAATGGCAGCGTTGGACCAGTGCTCCCCGTGGTCACATCTACCACCAAACTGTCTCCTCCTCTCCTCTCCTCCATGGCATCTCTGTCTGCGTTCCCCTTTTCATTTGGCTCCTTCCATCTGCTGTCCCCCAACGTGCTGAGCCCGTCTGCACCAACGCAGTCAGCAACACTTAGCAAACCATACAGACCCTGGGGGACTGAGATTGGAGCATTCTAAGAACTAACTCTTTAATAAGGGTGGGGAAGCCTACAAACCTAGCTGAGCTGGGTTATGCAACACTTAGAAGTTGAAGTTCTTAGTAACTGGGACAAAGGTACAGCTTCATCTTAACTGAGTTTGTCTAAAAACTGTCTCTTCGGATTTTTCTTTTTGTTTTCTACATTTTTGTATTAGCAATTTTGGGATTTTTTTAAATAATTGCTGATGTTGTCCAAAAATAAAATTACAATAGTGGTTGTTAACACTTGTGTTAGATCTATGCTGAGCATTTAAATCACTTTTGTAAACAGTTTGTTTCAAATGTTTCATCTTTCCCGAGTACATGACTGCCTTTCTATGAAGAGATATCACCTATTACTGTTAGCAACAGCCTACTTTTATTAGTTTTTCAAGACCACTCTTCTCAGCATTAACAAACTGTGGTTTTGTTAGTATTTTGACACTGAGATGTTCTGTAAAGAATTACTTTTTGTAAGCTATATTTGAGTCTTATATTTCTGAACGATGGACCAGCTTGACCACCTCTATCTAAGAGTCCAATTTCTATTTCTTCTGCAGTGGTTTGGTGTATTTGGTGGTCTTACTCTAGTCCCTAGTGGACATTTACTCACATCTTGGAACCACTACGCTATTTCTTCCACCAAAAGGAGCAGTATGTGCTTTAGAACAAACTGGAGTGGGAAAGGGTGCAGAAGCCAAATGACACACTGTATTGATGGTGGGTTTAGTTGCTGGGGAAGTGAAGGGAAAAAAAAGTTGTCACCTGCAGTAGTCTTCCGGCTGGAGCAGGTCATACGCATACTTATTTCATAGGGCCAGGTTCTGCTTTGAATTACAGTGGAGTAATTGTTCCATTACCCTGTATTCTTGGGTAACTGACATCTGACACTTTCCCTCTGTGAGCTTCAAATTTGCACCTGAAAGGAGTGATGCTGATATTTAAACAGCCAATGGAATGGTACAGCGGGCACCCGTTCAGTGCACAGCCTTGTTGCTTAGCAGATGGATCATAACCGGTTGATTTTTCTATTGCATTTTACTTCTAGGTGCAGTTCAGTGCCACTCCTCATTTTGTAAGGGCTGTGCTGCATTCTTGTGTGCGTGAGAGTGTGTGCGTGTACATGTATATTTTGGTTGATTTCATGAGAATCTTAATCTGAACAGGTTTATCTAGTGAGTTCCACTGGACCGGGTTTGACTGCTCTTGTATTTGTGTTGTGGCTAAATAAAGGAGAAAGAACAAAGTATTTTAAATATGTTTGATATGTATCAGTGGAGAATTCTGTGCCTATGGGTTTCACGGGAGATGTCAAACAATTGCTATTTAGTCTTGCTGTGGCCATTTGTATTTACCTTTTTCTCAAATATTATGGTATACTCAGCTAGTGTGGTATACATAAAGAACTGCAGTGCCTCAGAATAACAGTCAAGGGAATGAAAATTTAGGATAAATTTTGTGTGTCACTTCCATTTGCCTGGCAGTGTGTGGCCAGACAGCAAAGAGACCAGGATTACTGCTAATGAAGAGGTTAAAACTGCACTGCTCCTGAATATTCTTACTGATTTGTATTAATATTAAAAAGTGATGATCTTTACAAATGTGGAGTCTTTTCCTGTCTAACTCATGAAATCCTTATCTGTCCTATAGCTCTGTAACAAAGTTTTATACCTAACGGTCTGGTTTAGCTCATGTTCAGTGCATGAGTGCAGAATCTACGCAAGGTCTCTGGCTGATCCTGTATTTGTTACTGAGCGGTGTTACTAGCGTCTTACACTGTTTCTTCAAGTAACAACCTGACAGGCTTACACACAGATAGGTTTTCTCCAGGTGTGGTCTGTCCTACCTGCAAATCTCTACCTGCAGAACATCAGCAACTCTGGAAGTACCTCACGATCCCGTGCGTTTGAATTTATAGGACCCTTGCGTTGGTAAATGGCCCATCCTTGTCTGGGTTTAGCTCTGCCTGAATAGTAGAAAGAGCTCGGCCCTGTGGGAGACGAGAGCTTTGTTTAAAGAGGGGCTCTTGGGCCAATTAAGGAGTGGCATTGATGAGAGGCTTTCTCGGAATAAGGATTGCCGTGAGGCTGGAAAGAGTGGGAGGGCATTCAAGTGCGTAACCTTGTTTTACCTTCCTTGCTGGGCTGTACGAGACCACTGCTAGAAATGAAACGCAAAAAAACCACTGTGGGAGCTAGAAATACATAGGTGTTATTAAGGAGAGATTACAGAGCATGGTATTTCATGTAGAAACATGAAATAAGAGGCTGTAAAATTCCAAATCCAGTTTCCTTTTCACAGTGTGTATTGTCTCCTGTTTAATTATGCTCTGCTCTGTCCCTAATAGGTTTTTATACCAAATTAACAACTCCTACCTAGAAGATTGCTATAGTGCATGCAACTATTCTTTAGATCTTTTAATAAATGGCCATGCTTCTCAGCCTTTTAATGGTTATTTCATTGACATTCAAATGACTTTGCCTGCCTCTAAATAGCTGGCTCTTTTGTGTAGAAAGACCCCTATAATTATTTTTGTCCCACTGTCCTACTCTTGAATGGACTTCAGAAGCAGAGAGTGCAATAAAAATTTAGCTGCTGGTGTTTATCTCTATATCCACTGTCTCTCTTTTTAATGAAAAGTACTAGTTTTATTCAACTTTTGCTGTAAGTCTACATTAATTTTTAGAGACTCAAAATCTACTGATTATTATCAGGTTTGGAAGCCCAGGGCTGTATTATTGTACTTGTGCTGCTAACTTAGGAAGTCATGCCTTGCAGTCACTTGATCCGTATCTGTTTTGTCACCTGTGGAAAAGGGATGGCAGTGCTTGTTCTCCTTTCATCAAGAGACAGTGGTAGTTGGAAATTTTCTATATGAATGACAAATGCTGTTGTTTCTCAGAAACTACACAGTTCTGAGATGTTCTGCTATTATACTTTTGTTTCCTATAGGATGCTAAGTTTCTAAAGACAAACGGAGAAAGGCAAAATAAGCTTTCTTCTATAGACAACAGATATCTCCCGAGCCCATTGCATTTACTTGTTTACCCTATTGCAAAAGAGCAATTCAGGAGCACAAGCTTAACCAGAGGGATGCTGGAGAAGAAAGGAAATGCATATGTGACTTGATCCCATGACCCCTCCCCCTCCAGCTACCTTCAATTGCTTTGGATGAACTGTGTCTGTCTGGAAATCCTCAAGCTAAAGCTTTGTGTGGGATGTAAGATGATGTGGTATTTCATATAAGCTAATATTATCTGCCTTTATCAAGGAAGTTGGATTTGAGTGCAGAATAAATTTTAAGAGGCTGGTAAATGCTGCATAAAACCAGATACAAACCTTTGGAAATCCATTCCGTTCTTTGGCATAAAGGGATAGCTCATGAAAGTGACATTTTTTAGCTTTTGGAAAGAAGCTGTCAGTAGTTCTTAAGACAGTTTCTGTTCAGCCCTCCCATCTTAACACTAGTAGCATGACAGAGTTTATTAGAATCACGCTGAAAACCCCATGAATCCTGGCTATTGCTCTCTTCACTCACACATCAGCATGTGAGTCCCCAGGTGACAGGAGCCTTCCTAGATTATTGCACAGTGGTGTTTTTTTTGTTTGTTTTTTTTTTTTTTTGTTTTTTTTTTTGTTTTTTTTTTGTTTTTTTTCCAAGCAACAAACAAGCCCAAGTAAGCACAGATAAACTGAAATCCTTCTTCCTGTTTTATATTGTGTGCATATTCACAAGCACTTCTTGCCAGAAGCTCCCAGCTTGGATCGTGACATACTCTATGTGGAGCTGAAAGTCTGTAGTGAATAATGTGGAGGTCATGAGCTTTGTGCTGGAAGGCAACAAAAATGATTTACAAAGCCTTTTTCTGAGGCCTTATATGAAAGGTTGCAGAGATGGGTTGTGGTACTTGTGACTCAGTATGCTAAGGCATGCATATGTCCATGTATTAACCAGCCTACCTGGCCTCGTAGAGCAGTGTGTGCATTGCCTGTAACTGAATGCCTCTCTCTCCACTTGCCCAGCTTGTAAATAAAAATTAGAACAGTCCCTTTCTTCTGGAGCCAGAAGATGCAGGCATTGACTCATGCTTGCAATATAGTAGTTTGACTGCGGTAATAAATGTTGAAATGTCAATGCCTAGTAAAGATACAGATACTTGAAGGTGTCTTTTGAGAGTCTGAAGCGTTCATTTGGTGAAAGCTTTTATTAAGGAAGTGCTTGGGTATTATATGTTGTTCTCTCTTATTCCAGCTAGTCCCACACATTTTTTCTTCTAGCAAATTCTACTAATTATTCATGCAGCTTGAAAGAGGGGACTAAACTGCCTTGCTTTGACCCATGTTGTGTGCAGCCTGGCCAAGCCTTCCCAGCAGTTCAAAGTTCATAGAAGAGGTTCTCTTCCAGCTGTTTTTTCTTTTTTTTTTTTTCTTCAACCATCATGTAACAGCTGTATAATGCAGGAGAGGCTTATCTAAGTGTTCAAAATAGCTGAGCTCTAGGGACATTCTGCCCTGCTTTTAGAGCCCTTAAGCATATTACGTTGCTTGGACCTTTTCAGAGTCTTTTACCAGGTTGCTTCCTTCACATGAAGACTCCTAGAAAGGAAGGGGTGGGGGTGGGGGGTAGCTGGAGCCAGTTCTGCACATCTTCTGCACTGCTGCTCGTCAGGGCAGCCTCAGCACAGGGAGGGCCCTTCAGATCACTCTCTTCTCTCTGCATTGGAAAGGCTTCTTGGAGCTTTCCATGTGACTTGTACTTCTCCAAGGTAAGCTGTAAAATCTAGGCACAGACAGTAGTAACAGGTTAAACACTGACATTACATGTGTTTCTCTGTTTTGAGCTGCTTTCACAGAAGAAAGGATGTTGGGAGTAGAAAAGTTGGTGGAACAGCTCTGTGAGAGAATGGCAGGGAGCAGGAAGGAAGGCTGATGTGCAGGATCAGAGGAAAACTGAGGCTGTGAACAGATGAATGAAGAGTTGCATTGTTTGCATTGCCTGTTGCAAAGATACGGAAATAAGTGATGTCAGATGACAAAATAAGCTGGATGCAAGTATGTAAACAATTCAGAATGGGGAAGATAATACTCTTAGTACTCATAATTTTGCTCAGTAAGCCAGAATCAGATGAGCAATGTGCAAAAACTGAGGCGCATGATTTAAAACCAGTAAGGTGCTGAAACAAATGTGTGTGGATGTCTTCATCAAATATGATGGGTCATGTCACCGGCTAGGGAGGAACCAGGGCTCAGATGGATTATCACCAGCTATAAGAATGCATCACAGCATGATTTACTGATTGCATTTGTACAATCTGGTCAAGTGAGTGTACAGAGGTCAAGGAATTAAAGCATGGTCTGTGCATGAGAGGGAGCTTGTGACCCAACTTGACAGAGAATCTGATGTATCAGGATAACTGATATTGAGCACCTAGTGACCGGCAGCTGCTTCCACAAATCCCACAGCCTTCAGCAGCAGCTATC